ATCAAAAGGTACGGCGGTAATCAGGTGCTCGAAATGTGACATGGAATAAAAGTAAATATAGAGTCGCAAGAAAATATGTCCTCAAGTGCGACCTAAATGCCTACTACAGGTTTATGTAAATAACTTATGCGTGGATGTACTTATTTACGAAATCTTAATATTTATAATATTTCCGTGTTATTTTACCTACTCGTAAAAAGTCGAGGAAGAATTTTCAGGTCAAAGTTAACTTGAAATCTTGCTTAGTGCTTATGTATGACCTTAACTTATCGATACTGTCGAAAATTATATATTTTTGGAGAGAATCTGAAATGTTTTTAAATTTAAACTTGAACAAGTCTCGAAACCAGCTAGATGGTCAAACATTGTTGCTAACAAGTTGTTTACATTTTTAAGAACTTATAACATTAGGCATTCTATAAATGCTTATGATTAAATATTAAGGAGGAAAAACATAGTTTTGTGTAACAAGGATTCCCAATAATTATTATAAATTGTGAAATATTAAAACCTCGCACATTTATTCGCATGTAAATACATGCATAACAATGCAATTACAGGAAATATATACCTACATATATACTGTTGGATAAAATTGCTTCATATATGTTTCATTGGTAATCAGTCGAAATTTTGTCGATTGCAGGTTTTCACAATATCGTTAAAAGAAGGAATATGTGTGGTGATGAGGTATAGATTAGAAATGTAATCAACTTGGTAGCCAATCTATAGATGTCTAATTTATTTATAATGAGCTTGTTAATTTCGACAGCCTATATTGACTACAAACTTAATACGATAGGAAATAAATTATATATTTATCGTCATGCATTCTTATTTTGACATCCTCAATTTGCTCAAATATCAAGAATATTGACTGCCAATATTGTTTGGTAGGTTTCTATGCTCAACTACATTCTCCCTTCTTACCATTCAAAATTTCTTGGAGTACCTAAAATATTTTTACAAGCCAACATTTACTTCAATCACCTCCAAACCATTTGGGATTTAAAGAATGGCAAAGTCCAATTTCATCGCCTTGATTTTGGTGCACTACACCGTAAAATTGAGCTTAATTGGACTCGTTGTAGCTTTATCTGGTACAAGATTGGCATCTGTTATAACGCCTAATGCTAGGTGTCGATACCACCTTGTCTTCAACAATATTTCTATGTGGGACTTACCAACTACCCGTAATATGCCAGTTACACTTACCAAACGCACCTTTTCGGACGATTTAAGTCTATCTTCCTACCATACGACTAACCGCTCTTTACAACTTGACATTCTTCACAATAAGGGATGGATGTGCGAAACTGTGATTCTCTTTGTTACAATTAATCCACTAAATTTGACAACATTTCACACAAAATCGTTAGGATATTGGATTTTAGCTCATAGCTCGCATTATTTCGCATTAAGTAAAGAAATCGAACTAGTAACTTCTTCAGATAATTTTTACTTTATTCTAATTCCTGCGAACGCAGACGTCTTTTTGACAAATATTGATGTGCCTATTTACCTTGCACCTGTCAACTTTGTGGTGGAACTACCCGTCAAATTATCAATTTTATTATTTCATAATGAGCACAACGTGCAATTGTGTAATCAAAAAAGTAATCTGAGGACACAAATTCTACGGAATTTTGTCTGCAGCACTATACCTTCGTTTGGAGGTACGATACCATTCGACTACCCGACACCCTCAGAAAATAATTGGCAAGATCATACAATTAATTCAAGAAATCCGACGGAACTATCAGAAATTTTAATTATTACAGCATTGAATAAACTCAATGCAACGAGGCATTTCACACTTAGGGATATTTCGTGTCGCTCTGTTTTAACGGAGACGTGCTTCTACCCGAAACTTAGACTTGGAATTTCGGTTAGCGAACAAATTCAATATAAACTGATAATCACAAGCTTCTCCGGATTCTCCTTCTTCTCGTGTTACTTGGCATTAAACGGGGTGACGTTTTCGCTGTATTTAGCACCTTACGATCGCATTGTGTGGATCTTCACGGGGACCATGCTTGTCTCATCTTCGTTCATCTTAACTCTGGGATTTTACACTTTGAACCAACAACTCTACCCGCTGAAACTGCTTTTACACTTTTTCGGATGTCTAATCGACGAAGTGAGCCATCTTCCCGAAAAATTGAGCACCTTCCTTCCCTTCAGACTCGTAAGTATTCCGTGGCTCTTTGTCGGCATGTTGCTGAGCATGTGCTACCTGAGCAGTTTCATTACCAATTTAAACTCACCCCTTCCTGGGGAACGATTCGACACGTATGAAAAAATCTCTTGTGACAAAGAACCCCAGACCAGTGTAAATCACAGATCGGATCTTGAGAGATTTCACTTAAATAGAATCCTTTTTGACAGGAAAAAATTAAATTTTACTACTCTCGACTATGCAAAACATGTTGGAGGATTCTGCTATACAGTTTTGTCTAAATTCGACCTAGTGAATAGTGAAAGTTATCACTACTTTCAAAATTTCAAATACTTACAACACTTTAACTACGATCTTATTCGTCAGGCAGACAGATTTCCAAAGTATTTGAAAAATTTAACGTATGCCATGTTGAATCCAAGGATTCGCTGGTATCCGAAAAAGCTTGAGATTTTGGCTAGCGTGACGGCCCAAGGGGTTAACAAGATTATCGAGGAGGAAATTTTACTATGTGACAAATCTGCTTATCTTGGACGATCAAATGAAGTTGACGCCTACTTTGAGTACCTGAAGAGAAACTACCCGACGAAAAAGTGGTACAAGGGAGAGAACCCCATTGTCACCGGGGCAACCGGATCGATCTTTAATGTTTTCCGGGAATCACGAATGGTCCGCTATTTTAAGCTGTTTTTTGATTCCGGAATTTACAACCGTGCATTAAATCTGGTCACCCTCAATGCTACATTATCCCGAGAAAGGGAGTTAAAATTGGGGCAAGATTGGAAATTTAGATATGCCACGGATGTCAAGGCGGTCCAACTGGACGACAGTATTCAAACTATTTTTATCCTGCACGTAATTTGTCAAGGTGTAAGCGTTTGTTTAGCGGTGCTCGAATATTTGAAACGGAATTGGCGAATAATCGTGAAGAGGGTGGCATTAAGTTGGGCAGGATATGTAAAGCCCGTGCGTCATAAGAAGATGCGGACGTCAATAGGTCGATATAAGTCGAAGAAAGAGGCTGACATCGCTGATCGTACGTCGCCCCAGTAGAATTTTACATGTCGTCGCCTCCACTTTCATAAAACCGATAATACATCATAATCGACCTGAGTATGTGTTTATTTACATAAGTATACGACTCCACCAGCCCTGGGAACAACGTATTTATATTACCGGTTAGCAGTTTCTTTTTGTGCGCACGAAATTATTTTTATGCATGCATGGTGCATAAAAATGCATAAAAACGCCTAAAAATGTACGAAAATGCACGGAAATGCATGAAAATGCATAATAATAAATAAAATGCAATTTATGCCGGAAAATTCATATTTTCAAGAAATTTTATACTTTCGTACCCTGTCAAATGGGGGTAAGATTCAGTTATCTGAACCTTTACACTGGTTTGAAACCTTTCTACACCACTTGGTAGCCCGAGTCGCGGCTTATGTATCCATCATAGTTGCCATTGAATGCGCTAGTAAAACTTATCCTATCTAGTTATTTGGAATTTGGTACACATATCGAGTAACACGGAATTAGATTATTCAGCAAGAAAATTTCGCCTATTATTCAGCAAGAAAATTTCAAACAAATGGCACGTATTCTTTTGCTATAAAATACAAGCCCGTATTCAGCCGCTCATTTTTTGTATTGAAGAATGAAAAATATTTTTATACGAAAAGATACTAAAATGGTGAGGAAAATATAAATATCACATATATTTCTCAATTATTCGAATATTTAGAAAAATTGTATTATTCCAATATTATTTGCATGTAAATTATTTTCGTGCATTTTCGTGCATTTTCATGCACTTTTTCGGATTTCTAGTGGGTGTTATTAAACGTTTAAAAACATTTTCGTGCACTAATTTCGTGCAGGTGTTATTTAACAGCAGAAACACTGCCGGTTAGTAACGCTGTAGCAATAAAAATTACCACTCGGAACCAAACTACTAGCAGTCCGGTAGGAAGTTATTACCAAATCAATACCAGTACGACGTACATATCTGGCAGATTTTTGGCGTGTCGTACAACACTATCGTCACGTCGGCAACTTTGTACATTCACGTCTTCAGAAGCTATCCGCCATGCATAAAGCCTGTTTTTTTACGAATTCTGATCCACCTTGACAAGTCTGCAAATAAATCCCCTCAACATCAATTATTCATATCCCCAACAGTTATGATTATGTATTACACCGACGCATAGTTTGACTCGCTAAATTGATTTAAACTCTCTTTATGTTCATCTCTGCACATAATTTCTCCATTTAAATCACTAAGCACATGCTTGAGCAGTGTGAATCTGGCATAAAGTATGTGAATAAATTCCAAAGATAAAGGTTCGAAGTATTTTACATTTATGTCAGGTGCAACATCCGTACATATATAATACACACAAATGTATTTATGGGTATCCCAAAAAATCAGTCCCATTCTTCACGCAGGGTCCTCACATCATTTTTCATTCATGAATATGCGAACACGAACATACGTAAAAAAAGTTTTCCTCTGATCTTTTCCAGTATTTTCTTCACTCGTAAATGCTTCTCATTCTTACGAAGTTTGCAACTCGTCACGTATCTATGTATGGAATCATGCGTAAATAACGTGATCGATTTCGACACAGTTTACTTACAGAGTTTGACCATCACATCCGGTGTGAACATCCCTCAATAACCTGATGCGCCATTGATATGAGAATAATATTTTGCACGTTCGTGGTCGTGCTATCCGGAGATAAAAATTTTAATGGGTTCCCAGACTGTATAAAAGACCGAGATGAAATCACTCTATTTTGCACAATGAGTACATATTCACATACTTTAAAAAATGGTTTCTATAAAGTTCCTGGTCATGATCGGAGTGATAACGGCGCTGTGTCAGGTCAGCGCTACGCCCCTCCCGCTGCCGCAGAGTTACACTGATCAGGCGCTCTACTACCCGTACATCGGATGGTGGGGACTTCAAGGATCTGTAGGTTTAAGTTGTTATCATTAATTAAAATTTATTATACATCAGCACAGTTGAAATACCAGTGTCATGCCTGTTTAATAAAATCTTGTAGCGATGTTATTTACCGTGTACGTATATAATTTTTTTTAGATATTGAATGCAAGCCTGCAACAACAAGTGTTGACAATTAATCCGAGAATATATTTCTTTTTCAGGCATCTGGAGCTGACCAAGATAATGACGCGGACTTTTTCGAGCGTAATCGTAGGTTTGGATATTCTTCCGTTCTAGGCTGAAGGCTGGAATGAGGAGAAAATAAATTTAGATTTTGGCTGGAAGACTTGCTAAGCACTCTTGGTTACTAAAAATTACGTGAATTGTTACCTATTACGGTACAAAATCGAACGAAATTTTCATTTTATCATTCTACGAATACTACTGCGAATGCGAATTATTTTTTTCCATACTCGCTCACAAAGAAGTACTTACATATAAACATTCGATGACGTATTATATTTTTGAGGATCATTTGTTTGCGTCAAATATTTGTTATGTCATAAATTATTAAATACAAGAACACTTTTGTGAACTACGTGTGCATACAAAGTTCATATAGTTTTACAATAAGTGAAATGAGTTTTGTTTCCAATTTTAATAGATAAGTATTTCCCTCTTATTTTATTCTGCTAATTACTTTTGCATCCTCAATTTTAGCCAATCCAATAACCGGATTAATATCACACGCAAATGAAAATGACAATAAAAATAATATTAATGTCCACATATACTCAGACACAACCATACATATATATATATACATAGGCAAATGTTCGTTATTTTCCTGAGCAGTTATCCCTCAGACCCACAAAAACGCATCTCTGCTGCATGTGTAATAAAGCATCTCCACTACCTTAGTATATTATAGTTAACTATTATATTTATTTCAAAAATTCGCTCAGTGATTAAGAAAAGAGGTTTGCGGAACAATTTTAGACATCCAAAAAAATGGTGCAACCAAATAATTTAGACGCAAGTTTACTCGTTTCTTATTATACTGCGAATTATTTAATTTTTATAAAACCTACGGCTGCATTAGCTGACATAAATTTGTCATCTGTTCTCACAACCCACACCAGTTGTTGGTATCATCTCATCTTCAACAATATTTCCACTTCCGATCTGCCAACTACCCGTAATGTCCCTCTAACTCTGACCAAACGAACGTTTCCCTACGATCGTATTCCGTTGCCCACACCAACCAATATCCCTTCACAACTTTATATTCTCCAAAACAGAGGCTGGCTGTGCGAAATTGTCATTTTCTTGGTCTCCATAAATGCGACAAATTATACAAAATCGCACCAAGAATCTTTAGGATATTGGATTATAACTCAGACCAAATACTATCTCAGACTAAATGATGAAGATCATTTGACTCAGGTTTACCCTGATTTTTTTTATGTTATCTTAATTCCACGTAGCTATAAATTATTTGAATCAAACACGAATTCCCCACAGTACGTACAACCTGCCCCGTACGACCAGCTACTACCGGTGAAATTTTCAGTGTTATTATTTCTCCCTGATAACTGGGTGACATTCTGTTACCAAAAGAGTATTCCCATCCTACAAAAATTCGTCTGTTCTAAGGTTACAACTACTAGTAAAGACACAATCTTATTAACCCGCTTAAACTACCCGACAGAATTGGAGCAGCATTGGGTCTACAAATCTGAAAATCATCCCATCTCAGCAGTTTTATTTACTACGGCGCTAAATAAACTTAATGCAACCCGATATTTCCTAAATGGTACCGAGTGCTACCCGGTTCTCACGGAGGCCTGCTTTTACCCGGTGTATCTTTACGATAGTCGATTGCCAATTAGTGAGTGGGACTATAATAATCAAATTATTCTCACAGATTACCCCGGATTCTCGTTTTTCTCTTGCTCCCACTTTTCAAGGGGGATTTCGTTTTTACTGTATTTCGATCCTTACGATCGTATCGTGTGGATCGTTACAGTTATCCTGCAGCTCTTATCAACTTGCCTTCTTTCGTTAGGATATTACCTTCTGCACCAGCAATTCTACCCGCTGAAACTCTTCTTGTACTTCTTCGGTTGCCTGATCGACGAGATGAGTCACCTTCCTAAAAAATTGAGGATTTCGACTCCCTTCCGACTTTTAAGCGTTCCCTGGCTCTTGATTGGCATGCTGCTAAGCACATGCTACCTGAGTAGTTTCATAATCAATTTAAACTCACCCCTTCCCGGAGAACGAGGCGACACGTACGATAAAATTACTTGTCAGGAGAAACCACTAACAATCGTTGATTCCCGTTTGCTTGAGGCCAGATACATGGCAATAAGTGAACATCACAACGATGCGAATTTTAGTGCAATTTCTTCCAGTATGAAGAATTTTTGCTACACAATTCTGTCTGAATTCACACCAACGCACAGAGAGCAAGAAAATCTTGGCAATTACAAATATACACAATATTTTTATTTCAATATTTACCGTAGTCATGATTACGTTCATTATCCATCGCATTCACTACGATTAATGTATTCCATGATAAATCCAAGGATTCGGTGGTACCCGGGGAAATTAAGACGTTTCGACAGTGATGTAACCACAAACAAAGTAAATCGGATGATTGAAGAGGAAATTTTGCAGTGTGACAGATCCGCTTATGGAGGACCATCGAGTGATGTGGACACCTATTATCAATATCTGAAGAGAAATTATCCCACCAAAAAATGGTATCGCGGAGAGAAAACAATTTTTGAAACGCCGGTCGGATTTATGGTTCAGGCTTGGCGGGAATCTCGCATGCTACAATATCTCAAATCGTTTTTGAGTTCAGGGATTTACAACCAGGTGTCTCGTCAGGTTAGCCTTAATGCGACAGTACTACGCGAAAGGGAGGCTAAATCACGAAAAAGTGGGCACTTTCGCCCTGTAGCCACATCATTTCAGGTGGTCAGGCTAGGCGACAGTATTCAAACCATCTTCATTCTCCTAATCACCTGTCTAGCGGCGTGTTTGTGTCTGGCGGTAATTGAGTATGCAAAATGCAATAGGGCAAATATCGCGAATAGGGTTAGGCTAATGTGGGGACGATTTATTAAAGTTGTGCAAAAACGCAGGCGTCAAAAGAAAATGCAGCATAGAATTAATATACGACGTAATCATGGAGGAAGGGATAATCAAGGTACCTTAAAATAGAGCATTACGTAATGGAAAAAACATACATATCAGGATTCAGATTTTTGATCAAGTGACACCGTTTTGGTAGAAATATGTTAACATACGTTGGGAGACCTCCATTGTTAGTCGGTTAGTTTGTTTTAAGTGTTCCGTTTCCGACCTCACGTCTGATAATTCGACCGTGTATGCAAGTGTGCGAAATTGTTTTATTGTAAATTCGAATTATCTTTATTTCTAAAGAACTAATTTGTATTTGTTCAGTTGACTTGAAACTTCTGTTGTAAAAGTTGTTTTTATTTCGCTTTCCATACCCATACATACATACCTATTTAAATATGTTGAGTGAAACTATTTTCGGACATATTTTTTCGTCAAACATTTGTCACGCAATAAATTATTAAACTCAAGTAAATGCAAACCTAATATTAATTTTTTATTGCATGCGATCCTAACGCTATCAAAATTTCATTTTCCTCTATCAATGTGCATTATTAAGTATTATCGTAAAATTCCAACTTCCTAAGCTAATAAATTTTGCCCGTTTCAAAAATAAAATCGTGTATATTTTCATACATACAAAATTTATATAATTTGGTGACATTCGAAGATTGCGCAATATTGGGTTTGCTCGGAAATATGTATGAACGCATGCTTCATTCATGTACCGATACAGTACCATCTTCTTAAAAAAACGTCATGACTCATTAAATCGTTTGTTAGATATTGGGTATCCAAGAACCAATGGTGAAAGTTAGCATTTCGGTTTTTAACCGTTTTGGGAACGAACTTTTCGTAATCTTCGCATATGCATGCTTATTTATTTATCACGAACTTCACAATCTTAAGTTCATATTCAGCCTTGCTGTCTTTTCATTAACTAATTGTGCCTTGAATAAATAATCCAAGTAAACTGAACACGAACTAATTTTAATCTTGCTAATATCACATGATGACTCTTAGAAGGAGAGGCCCTCTACATACCTCTCTCAGATCTTGATGCCCTTTGCATATCAGGGTGCCCTAGGTGAGTAACAAGTGGTTTTACTCCATGGCCACGTTTGCGCCCGCCACATCCCCTCGTAGATATTAAAATCACGAAAAGGCCTTTTGTCATGTGCTTCAACTGCCACCAAAAATCCAGTTTTGCTCGGATTCTGATTAGGTAAATTTACATTTTTGTGATCCCACATACTTGAGTTATCATATCCAGTAGTAATCTTAAATATTTTGAAATTTCAAATTTTTTAGAACAATTCATGAGCAAAGTAATGTCTATAAATATTCGAGAATTTCAAAAAAGTTGAGATTGCTACTTGATACGATCACAAGAATGTAAAATTTACCAAAATCTGAGCAAAATTGGATTTTTGGGGAATTTTTGAACATGACAACTTTTGTGGTTTTCATCCTTTTGAGGGGGTGTGGCCATGGAGTAAATCCACCCTAGGATTATTCACTACTCACCTTGGGGACCCTAGGTGAGTAGTAAATGCTATATGCTAAGGGCATCAAGATCTGAGAGGGGCATGTAGTGCGCCTCTCCTCCTTAACAGAAAACAATTTGGAAGAAAGCTCCAGTCCTTTTTGGTTATGTTTTTGATTAAACTCTATGCTATTCTGCATGCTATTTAAAATATGTACATATATCTATATGCATGTCTGGGTATTAACCTTAAATATTTTGAGGAGACTTTTTTATCACCTTTAAATATTTAGTATCCTGGAAAACTTATTTGGCAAGAAGTCAAATCCGACGCGACAAGCGAGTATCTTACGAATTTCCCCTTTTGGTGCCGTATCAAATTGTCCGTTGTGATACGTTTCTTTGCTCGACTTTTCTTGTTATTTTGTACGTACTTCCACTCCTAGTAGAATGGTATTGAATCAATACCGATCCGAGTACATATAATATGGTTTCACTGGTACGGAAATAACGTGCATTAGTACTCATATACATACGTGGTAGATAATGTTGTGGTAATGAAAACCTACCACTCACTTAAAAAAACAAACATTACCAATTCGGGAGGATGTGAAACTATGCCAACACGAAGTGACATCACCACATCTTAGAGTGTATAATATATATCAACCCTGCTACTTTCATGAAACGTAGTTCACCATCCTATAAACGAAATATATTCTCATATTCACCACTGTCATTTCTTACATAATATCTATTCGATTCTGATTTTACTAAATATCTCCTTATAAGCACGATAACTCTTGTATTTTCGAGTAATATCTTTTTAACTCATTAGTGAAATCCACTTAAAAATTGGAACCTCGAGCAATGACGAAATCAAATCACCCCCGTTCGACCATTGTGGTATTGTGTTACGCTATAAATTTCAGCTTTGTCGAACCAAAGATGGAATTATCCCCAATAAACTTGGCATCTGTTCTATCGCCCTACCCCCCTTGTCGACATCACCTCGTCTTCAACAAAATTTCCACGCAAAACTTGCCAACCACCCGTAACATTCCAGTCACACTGACGAAACGACCCTTTCCGGACAAGTCTATTCCTTCGGAGATGCGCTCACGAACCAAGACACCCTCATACCTTAATATCTTAAAAAATCCTGGC